TGAGAGAACAGGGTGAGGAAATCTGAAAAGGGACAGTATGGAGCTCAGCACACATTGGACGCCCAACACAGAAGTTCCCTCTGTCCTCTGTTCTCTCCCCATAAAACGTAAAAGTACAGTAAAACGGCTGAAATCTGAAATAAACATCCTTTTTAGTCACTAGGAAATGTTACTCACTTCTTCAACAAATATTTATTGAGTACTCTATGTGCTGGCTACTGTTCTAGGCACTAGGGATACAAAAATAAGCCAAACAAGAAGACTCTGTCCTTAGAGGTTGCAGTCTATTCTTATATTCTATGGGAGGCAACTGCAGGCCAGAGTGTTTGCAGAGATGGGTGTTTAAAGAACCTTCCCTTCCCTTCCCAAGTAATCAGTAGGTTTCCAAGTCAGTTGCATAGATACTGGTCATTTAAATAGCTATAAAGAACAAGAGTAAAACACAAATACAAGATAACACAACATCTGAGCTAATTACATTTTCTCTAGCCTTTTAAAATCTACTTGTTTTTTTAAAAAAAACATGTTGATTATCTACTATATACCGGATGTTCAGCTAGTCTGGAAATACAAAGTTAGGCACAATAAGATACTTGTTTGCTGGGGAAGGTGACATACTAATAAACTACAAAAAAAAAAAAGTGATTCATGACCATAAAGAACAAGTTCTTTAGGGAAAACCAGAAAGTCTTCACAGAAGAGGCGATAAATTAAACAAACAAAAACAAAAACAAAAATCCCCCACACTTTTGTTAATCCATCCCTAAGTCCTGTTTATTTTAAAGTCTATTCTTTCTTCTCAGTGCCATTTCTAATATTCTCAGTAGCATTTTGACCCAGGCTGTGTTAATCATGAGACCTTCTGAATCTGTTTTCTTTATTTCTAGCTGTGGCCAATGTCATCGATTAAAACACTAAGCTGTGCAGGAGGCTGATCGTCATCATAGTCCCCGCATGGCTGAGCTTTGGCCTATTGAAGAACATGCCAGAAGAACAAATCGCAGTCTACAACGCCCTCACCCAGGACGGGATGAAAGTCATTCTGATTGAACTGGGGAAAATTGAAGACTATACAGCCATGCCAGAGTCAATCCAGTACATCAGACAGAAGCACGGGGCCATCCAGTGGAGCGGGGACTTCACGGAACAGTCACAGGGCATAAAGACCAGGTTTTGGAAAAAAGTGAGATACCACATGCCACCCCAAAGGTATCCACCCTCTGCGGTCCAGCTGCAGAAGCGCGTGCCCTCCAACTGCACAGCAGGCAGGTGGGAGGCCAGCGAAGGACACATCACACACTGACAGGTCTGCAACATGCAATGGCTCCTGCAGGCTGTGCACCCCTGAAGCTTGCGGTGACGGACTTGTGGGAGAGTTTGCATTTGTCTGTTTGTTTGATCAGAGCTACTTCTTTAGAGAAGGACGTCTCTCCAGAAGGCCCTCGCTAACCTTCTGGCTCCCGAACACTCATGAACACTCGCTGAGCTTGGGGTAGAGAGAGCATTTGGGTCCCTTGGGAGTGGGACACAGGGTTCTATGGAGGGCGGTTCAGATGTCAGAAAGTGTGGCCCATGGTGTGGCACCCATGGGGCTTGGGCAGTAGGGATGACAGCAGGGTGGTCTGTGGCTATGGGAGGGCTCGCAAGGGTCACCACACTTTGTTCGTCCCTGGCCAAATTTGCATAAGAAAGAAGGTTTAGGTGTTCAATGGCGAATGGACAAAGAGGCAGTTTATGTGAAAGCTGAAGGCTGCCATTAATTCTCTCCTGTCTCACCAGCTGGGCCTCATGTCCTGGGGTCTTGGTTCCAGTCCTTGGAGGTGGACCCAGAGCTGATGGGAAACTTGACGGGGTGGGGGCTGACCTGGAGGGGGGGATGACAGAGAAGGGGAAAGACAGGTGCTGGGACCCTTGGTGACTTTCCAGTTGACCTTCCTACAGTGACTGAGTTAGTCACAAATCCTGCTTCCCTTAGTCACTCCCCTCAACCGCTCTGAGTCTGTCCATGGGAAAAGCCTGAGGGGAGACTGAGTCACATCAAATAAAGGGTCTGGAGGATATGGTCTTTTCCCAGAAGACCAACTGAGATGAAGATACACGAGAAAGTGCTTGTCAGACCCCGTGATGTCGTGAGGAGCTGTCCGACCAACGTGGGGAGTGGGGAGTGGGGGGCCATGGCCGGGGTGCCTCTTACTCCTGTGGGGACCCCTCAGCAACTCCAACAGCTTCCTTCTGTGTCCCAGTCAACCTTTCCTCAGCTCTTGATTCCGCTGTGTATTTATAAACTTTCTTTCAGCACATTCGCTTGGGTTGGTTTCGTTGGTTTAATGGTTGATTGATCCACAGCTGTCTGGAAAATGAAGAAAGTAGAAAATTCCTCCCTGGTTTCCTTCTTAGAACAGAGGCTGTCCTACAGGTGACAAATCTACCACGCCTGGAATGAGCTCCTGGGGCTGATGCTGGCTCTCAGAGCTGCGGAACATCGGGTCTGAATCGCCAGAGGCCTCACATCTCAAGTGGAATTACTCTGGGGCCCTGGAGGGATGAGAACTCTGTGCGACGTCCCCTTCGCTCCTGTACCCAGGACACCCCAGGCTCAGGCTGTCCGAGGAGAGAGACTCTCCACTTGGGGAGGACTTCAGAGCCCTGGCTGCTGTCCTCCAAATCCGCCTGTCCTTGGAGAGTCTCTATTAAAGGAGGCAGTTGCTGATTGCCTTTCAGGCCCTGGCCTAGCCACCTAGAAACAATAACAAAAGAGAATCGGAACCTGCAGGGATATACTTTCAGATAACATGGACTAGAAGACAGATCCTCTCCATAAGGGAGACAGTGCATCTTTTCTGATTTCAGGCCCAGAACTGGGCTCCAGAAAGAACTGTCCTCTCGTGCCCAGCTAACACCTGCTGCACTGAAACATTTGGTTGAAAATGCCATGTTTTCCTTTGTGTCTCCTCTTCCCTACACACCATCTATTTCCAGGGCACTGTGAGGCTGCAGTTGGAATTCTGGACACCCAGCTGAGCTCAGTTTAGAAAAGAGCTGGGTAAGGAGGCATCACTGTGGGCTGAGGTGGATGAAAACTGTGGGCTATATCCATGCGTCACAGTGGGTGACAGTCGGGGACATCACCACGGTCCTGGTGGGCTGAGCCTCATGTGGAAGCCTGTGCCTGATGGCTTATGCTCTTTCCTCTGTCTTTCTACAATGAAAAATGAAACTGTAACTCTTGTAAATATCAGAAGTCCATGACATAAATTTTCTTCTCAGCTGAGAAACATAAATCACAAAATTACTTGTTAGCACCCATGTGGAAATCACAAACATTTTTCTCAATCCAGAAAATAAAAACCTATTTCTACTACATTCAAATGATCAGCTTGTCATTCAGATATTTTTGAACTTAATTATACTTTTCTGGTGGGGTTGTCAACTGAAAATTTGAGCAAAACCCAAATTGTGGCTGTAGTTATAGAAAAACATGGGGGTAAAGTGTCATAGCTTTTTTACTAACTCATTGAATGTATTTTTTCTCGGTCTGAGTCACTAACATGTACCATTTTGTTGGGTTTATTGTTGTACCTTACCCTTAGCCTGCAGGACCTGGGGACCTGGTGAGTGTTGTGGTCCCCACAGCTCTTCTGACCCCACCTGTCCCCCTAATTTTCTCTTTGTTGTTGTCAAGATTTACTTCCCGCCCCCAGCCACCACCACCACTCTAGTGAGCATATTTCTGGAAAACAGAAACATGTCTAAGGGGGGAGGCTTGGCAGAGGGTAGATGATTTTTCAACACATCGCCCAGTGTGTGCAGGTTTTTGTTCTCTCCCGTGTCCCAGACCACACGACGCATGGACAGAGGCAGGAGTGGAGACGTTGGA